AACAGGTGATTCCTTCTCCAGCCCGCTCTTACAGTATGTAGACACTGGCTATCTCATGAAGCCATGAAATCCTCAAAACTGTTTCACAGAGATCAAGCAACCTGTTTTAAAAGTCAATGCTTTCAAGCTTTTCAAAGGAAACATAAATAAATACAAAGAACAGAAGTATTGAAGGCCATCACTTCATCAAATGCATCTGCACTGACAGCATCATTCTTAGTGGCTACTGCATCACTAAACCTAAGAATCCCTTCACTGTTGGTGAAGAGTTGACCCTGCCTGCCACTAAGGACATCCATCACGAATTTTTGGAGCAGCTCTGGTTCAAAATGTGACACATTTTCTTCTGCCAGCCAGCATCATATACACGTCACCTGATGAAACAGCAGAGCAATACTGAGGCACAGCTGTAACTGATGGTACAAAACCCAGCTTGACAAGTCTACCGATATGGACAACAAGGCAAAATGTTTGTTTTTTACAATATATTTCTCAGGGCAATGTGTAAGAGGCTATGTTATGTGCATTTCTGTTGCCAACTTATACTCTAGCTGTGGAACTTTGCAAGTCTTTGAATGATGACATATCACAAAAACCGAACTGGTCATTTTGGGTCAGAATAGGCACAGGTGGAGCAGCTGCCACGACCAGACAGCTTTCTGGTCTGACCATATGGATCAAAGAGGTTGCTTCTGAGTGTGAGGGTGTGCACTGTGTCATCCGCAGGGAAGTGCTGGCTGTCAGAGAAATGTCAACCACCGTAACAGGATGTAACTAAAATAAAATTATCAGCCACATTAAAGCACGTGTCTTTCATTCACATCTGTTTGTGCAGCTGTGGGAGCAGAAGGGCACTGTACACACATCTTCTCTGATATACAGAAGGCATATCACTGGCCAGTTTTTCAGTTTAGGGAACCACTCTAGAGATTTTTTTTAGAAAAATCAGTTGACACTGGGAACACAGTTCAATGAAAAACAATGGGTCACAAAACTTCCTTACTTGTGTATTACAGTCAGTCAACCTGCTCAACGAACTCCATCTGTCACTTCAGGGGAGAAAAACAACTGTGTTCAAGTCAGCACATAAAGCAGCTGCATTCAAAACCAAACTGGAACGATGGGGATGAGGAATGAACACTGGGGTTTTAACACGTTTCAAACATTAGATTTGCAAAGAACTGAGCCAGGGCCTTCTTTCTCCCAGCCGGTGCACGCTTGCCTATCTCCTCTTTCAAAAGACTTGGAGCATTACTTCCCAACCACAAAAGACCTCTGAACTGGGAAGATACCGCTTTGGGGACCATTTGTGTACAAGCAAGGTGAACTGACTTTGCCCATGCTAGGCCAGGATCAGTGCTTGAGATCACAAGTGACAGTTGCCTTAAAAGTATGTTTGAGACACCTCAAATCCCCAGATGTTCTGCATTAAAGTCAAGGCCAAATCTCCTGAGGCTGCCCCAAAGCACTGAAAAGCCTGCTTCCATTTCCAACATCCCCATGGAAGAGGGGTATCTGAAGTGATGGCAACCAAAAGGAAATTATGCAGTCAGCTGGACCAACACTCAGGCGTCACTGCCTCCCATCACCCCAGCTGGACCATCTAGTTGGAGGAAAACAAACTCAGGGCTCCCAGTGATTCTACGTTATGGTGCACTATACAATTATCTCATTAAATATTACAATGTAATAATAATAGAAATAAAGCGCACATAAATATAATGGACTTGACTTTTTTTTTTACTATTTTATAGAATAAAAGAAGGATAACAGTAATAGGGGGCTTATCGAATTACAGACAAAGTGGTAGGAAATTATCAATGGTTGTTGTTTTACATATTGTTATCTACAAGATAGTTTCTCAGGAAAACAAATAGACAAATAATAGTGAGTTACAGACAAAAGT